AGTGGACTGGCAGAATGCCTGTGCATGCAGGAGTGGTCATTCAAAGGTGTTGAGAAAAGTAGTTTTAGCAAATGTTACAGCCCACTGGGATATATATTCTTTCATTGTCCCCCATTGCCATTGTGAAGCACACAAACACACATAACACATGGGCATTGTCTTTGTTTAAATTCTCGTCAGCTCTGGTCTGCACATCTCCATGCTATTAAATGAATTAAACTCAGATTCCCCTTGCCCCCTGACTTATCTACATTGATTTGCATGTTAATAACTCTCCTTCCCTCAGTCAGTTTGTTCTACCCTCTTCTTGATATGCTCTCCATGGTAACTTTGATTGAGTTCCTTGCCCTTAGCTCACAGTACAGGGAGGAAACTGAAGCAAGGTAATGCAGGGGAGCAGATGACTCTGGTTTCTGTTTGCTTTCACCACCATTGCCATTTCACTGGTCAAAGCCATGATGAGCAAGCTGCCTATCTCGGATACTTTGGATGCCTACCAGGGATGGGTACTGCTCTACCCATATTCCCTTCCCAGAGCCCTGGTTTTCAATACCCACTCAGGTGTGTTCTGCATGCATTTATGTTTTGCTCATCCCTGAACCCTGATGGCTCCCCTAGTTCTGTAACTGTTACCTCCCCATTCTCATCAAAGTTTAGCTTTTAGCTTAGATCTCAGCCTATCCTGACTGAGGAACTCAGCTGAGAGATGACCAAGTATAGTCAATAGTCATTCACTCACATCTATGCCTTCCAGAAGCTGTAAGACAAAACTGGCCCCTCCAAACCAACAGCTTTGTCCTGCAAGCAACCAGTCAGTTCTGCAAGGATCATTCTGCCTATCTGCTGGCAACTTGTGTGGATAGTCTGAGTCTGAGCAGAACTCCTCATGGGAGGAAGCTTTCCAGTGCCAAAGAGGAGAAGGCTGGCTGTGCGCCACAGCCCCCAGCAAGTTCTGTGAAAAACATGCAGCTACTGGTCCACTGAATCTGGTCCCTTGTGTCTTTGCACATTGCTTCATTGGCTCGGGGCACACTTTCAGAGCATGTGTTTGGGGCAGGAGGGAAGCTGCTGCCATTGTTGTACAGTTTCAGTTGAGTTTTCTCAACTTCCTGGTTGACTGCCAAGGACTATGAGGTTTAATTTCCCACCTTTGAGTTTCTCTTCCCCTCAGGATCTTCCCATCTGCTGCATTTCATGTTGCCCAGGTAAAGCTATGCTTGCCAGCCTTCCCCTTCCAAAAATACTGCAGAGTTTGTTTTGGTTCCTCCAGATTGTGCTGGCTTTGACTCCACGTACTGTGACTACTGACTCATGGTCCTGCTGGTCACCTCTATCTGATTCCAAAGTTTTCATTATCTTCTGCTCTTTGCAGCTCTGTGCAGACACATTTGCCTCATAAAACTTAGCAATCTGTTAATGTGGCCACTGTAGAGATAAGCATTTATATTTAGTAACATCACTCACTGGTGCAGGATTTTTTCAGTAAAAGAAGCCTAAAAAAAAAAAGATGGTCAGTTGTTCCCATGTTTTTTCTCCTCATAGACTACAGAGAAAAATATTCCACTGAGGTTTCATAAGCAAGCAAACTGAACTACATGCTTGGGGTTTTTTTAATTTTTATTTTGCATACATTTCCCAGGCTCTTGGATTAAAAAATATCTGATACACATTCTGATATGTTATTTGCTGAATGCTTTTAAGTGAGCCTAGAATCAGTGGAACTGAGAACCTGAACACAAGACAGAGTGGAATTAGCTTTATCCTGAGTCCTCCTCACAGGATGTAAAAGAAAGCAAAGTCTCATCTACAGCATTGTCTTCATGTCTTTCTGGGAGTCTTTGCACATGTAAAAGGCCAAGTTAGCTGATAGGACCTCAGTGGATCAGCTGCATCTCACCAGCTTAAAGCAGAGATCCTTTGACAAGCCTCACATTGTAGCTACAACTCAGTGATATCCCAGTTTAGGGCAAGCACAGCTCTCACTTCAAAGCTTGTTCCCTCTGCAGGTGGGCAGCAGGATCCAAATCTGAGAGCCCAGCAGCTGGGATTGTGTGGTTTAACCAAGTGCCACCAGCTGCTCGCTCACTCAACTGCCCCCACCCTGGTGGGATGGGGACAAAAATTGGAAAAAGGCAAAACTCATGGCTTGAGATAAGAACAGTTTAGTAATTGAAATAAAGTATAGTAATGATAATAATGACATTGATGTTGGTAGTGATGATGATGATGAAAAAGAGAGAGAGAAAGAGAAAGGAATAAACCCCAAAAGACAAGTAATGTACAGTAAAATTGCTTACCACCCACTTACCAATGCCCAGTCAGGCCTTGAGCAGCAATCAGTCCTTTCCAGACAGCTCCCCCTGTTTGTATATTAGGCATGGCATTCTAAGGTATGGAATATCTTTTTGGCCGGTTCAGGTCACCTGTCCTGGCCGTGCTCCCTCCAGCCTCTTGTGCACCTGCTGACTGCCAGACCATGGGACACTGAGATGTCCTTGGCTGAGGGTGAGCACTGCTCAGCACAACAAAACATCAGTATGTTATCAACTTTATACTCATACTAAATCCAAAACTCAGCACCATACCAGCTACTAAAAAGAAAATTAACTCTATTCCTGCCAAGACCAGTACAGATGGATGAGATGACAACGTGCACAGTACAAATGTGAAACCTTGCAGACCCCTTATCTGTTTCTTGCTTGAGGATCAGAGGCCTTCAAATAAAGCAAAACCCACAGATTAAAACCCCTTCCCTTGGAAGATTGACAGACCCCATTATGTCCTCCATTACTCTTTTACCTTCAAACTGGCCTTATTGCATACATTCATTATTCATTGCCTCTGTCCCAGTTGTGCATGCAGCTGGTGAGGCTTAGCAGCCACCTGGGCCAAACCTGGCCCACTGCTTCCACTGCCTGCTCCATGTTCCCTGCACCATGTCCACGTCCCAGTGCTGGCTCTGTATGGGGTGGGATGGTTGCCACATACTGTCATCCTTCTGTCCCTTGCTGGGTGCTCCTGGGGTATCCACCCATTGATTGTACCAAAGCACAGATTGAACACGGCAGGCGCCAGAGCTTTTTGTAATTGCACCCCAAGGCTATGAAATTCTCTGACAGCAAATCACACTGCCAAACACAGGCTGCAGCACTTCTCCCTGCTGAAGCATGTCAGGCAGCACAGTTGGCATTTGTGCCCTTTCAATCTGACAGCCCCGTGTCAGCCCAGGAGGGGCAAAGCTGTTTTATGAAGACGTCTGCTGCCTTTTCAGCTGCCAGCAAATACAAGGATTGGGATTCTTTGCCCTTCTCTTCATTTGCTGTCAACTCTTTCTTGGATCATGTTTTTGCTCAGAATTTACTGCAGTTCAGGTGTCACTGGCAACTCTATCCCATCTCTTGTCTACCTAGGTTTCAAACAGAGCAAAACTTCATTGCTCAACATTATAGACTTATTTGTCCAATGTGAACATGAGAAAAAGAGGGAGAGTAAGAGACAGGTCCACAGAGTTCTGGCTCCAGGTGGCTGGTTCCCAAGTGGAGATAAGTCTTTCTGATCAATCCCTAGCTGATATGTTTAATTAACCCTGCTTCATCATTGTTGATAATTTTTCTTTGCCTCTGGGTCCTGCAAGGATCACAGCCAACATATCTTTGTGAAGAGTGAACACTATGTCTGTGGTGTTACCCAGATTGCCAGAAATGGATTCATGGCCATTTTCATGAGTATTTTCTGTGTCACTAGTTAATGTGAGCACTCCCAGATCAGCAGAGTTTCATCATCAGACTGGACATCATGGTGTTTGTTCCCTATCAGAAACTGCCTGGACATCCAGGGTAGAAAGACAATGCAAGAGGCCTAGTGATGAGAAGGAAACACAGATGTGAGCTGAGGACCTCAAAAGAGCCTGGGGATGTAGCTATGAACAGTGAGCTTTTGGTGTCTGTTCTGTGGATAGTGTCCAAGGGACTGAAAAATAAACATTTTTAACAATGGCTGGAGCAGGGACAGTCATTCCTTAGAGCTTTTTTTATTAGGACACAAGCAATATTTTAAACAATGTCAGCATTGCCAAGGACTCACAGTAAAACCAGAAGGATGTGATACTGTTGTCTGTCAACGATTTCCAGTATACCATATGAACAATGGACTGTGCTCTAAATATTTTTTCTGCATTTTTTAAGAAATACTCATGTGTGTCCAACATGAATTTCCTGAAGCTGTGTGAAGAGCAAGTTTTTAAAAATCATAGATGGACAATCCTTGTTGCTTCTCCAGTTTTTGTTTCTTTTCTGTTCCTGGTTAACCAAGAAAGCAGCACCAATTCCTTTAGTGGCCATGCATGTGTCTGTGCTGGAAGAGGACCAGGGGTTCTCCACCGTGCTTTGGAGTACAGTGAGACCAGGTTTGTGTGGCTATGGCAGGGCATGTCCAGTCTCCATGGAGGCTCTGCAGCTGCAGCTGGGATTCACCTCCAGGGCAGGCTGATCTCTAGCCTTACCAGGTCACCAAGGGTCTTTCAACCTATCTCAAGGTTTCCTGGCAGCCTTTGATGCACACCAAAAGGAGGGAAATCTGGGTGTTGCAGGTAAAAGAAGAAAGTGCCATGGAGGGAGGCCTTTGTATCAGCTTGGAAATAAAACAGATACAAATTCTCATTCAGAAACATCATACAGTCTGTAGATTCATTTGTCACCCTCAGGAGTTAAACAGAGCTGCAAATATTTGGACTTGTGGCAGTAGGTAAACCCAGAGATTCTGGACTTCAGAGATGGGTAGGCTGGCCAAGTGCCTGCAGTTTTAATCTTACTTCACTGCATGGTTATGGACTAACTCCATACCATAGCTTTTCCACCTAGGAACAGGAAATGTTAGTCACCTGTGTCAGATAAGTGTTCATGAGGATTTACAGGGATTTTGGGCTTTTATAGAACAGATTCACAAAATATTCTGAGTTGGAAGAGACCCACAAGGATCATTGAGTCTGACTCTGAAGTAAATGGCCCATAGAGGGATTGAACTCCCAACCCTGGTGTTATTAGCACCACGTTCTGACCAACTGAGCTCATCCCATAGACCTAGGGATGAAGGTTTTTATATGACCTAAGGCTGAGCGTGAAATAAAACTGGCCTTGCTGTATGCTCCCACTTGAAATATTGGCATCAGAGCCATGATGTTTTGGAACCAAGCTTCTATTTTTCCCCTGTTTTTCTTGCCATGGAGACTGATGGGCTGTAACACTTCCATGGCTCTGGCCTATCCCTGAACCAGGGGAATTTGGTTTTCTGTAACCTCCCACTGGAGAGTGCAAAGCACTCAGTGCATTGGCATCAAAGGTTTGGCAGCAAGGAAGGAGCCAAGCAGTTTGGTTTGCTTGGCTCTGCTTTGGTCTGACCTGGCTCCCACAGGGAGAAACAGATTCATGGAAGAAGTTCTCTACCTTAACACTTTTGGGTGAATAATTAGCACTGGAGTGGCTGCCTATGCCACAGTGTCTGGGAGCTTCTCGCCTTCCAAGCTGTGTTTTGACCCCAATGTACCCAGAAAGGACAGGTATGTTTCTCCCTTTCCCCTGCTCCTGTGCTTTTGCTACCATACCACATCCCCTTCAAACCAGAGACACAACACATGCTGACTCAGTGTGGCAGCAGCCCACATTGAAAGACATATACTGATGGAAAGGAATTTCATAGCCAAAGCAAAAGGGTGTTAAGCCTTTGAGAAGGCCCTGCTCTGACTGAAATACCAGGTCCTCACATAGAATCATAGAATGGTTTGGATTGGAAGGTGATCTTAAACATCATCCAGTTCCAACCCCACTACCATAAGTAGGGACACCTTCCACCAGATCATGCTGCTCAAAACCCCATTTAGCCTGGCCTTGGAACACTTCCAAGGATGAGGAATCAATGGCTTCTCTGAGCAACCTGTGCCAGTGCATCACCACTTTCAGAGTGAAGAATTTCTTCCTAATATCTAGTCTAAAGCTACCCTCTTTCAGTTTAAAGCCATTCCCCTGTGTCCTGTCACTACATGTGCTTGTAAATATCTTCGGGTGTGCTCAGATGGGCAGAGAAGATCCCATTTCCTCACCTTAGTACAAGTGTACAATAAACACAGCCTTTTTAAGGACTGAAAAACCTCAGAAGAAAGTGTTGCCGGACAAGCTGTCCCAGCTGGCCCCTGTACAGCCACAGAGATGTGCCATGGGAGCAGGAGGCTTGCTCACACTCCATAGTCCTTTCAGAAAACATTCAATGTGAAGAGTCTTTCCCTCCATGCAAACTCTAATGTATTGCAGTGACAGTAATCTATTATGTAGATTTTATGAATCACTTTTTCAAATTTACAAATTACAGTGAAACCTCAGCCTTGATTGTGGTTTAAAATAGATTCTGAAATAACAATACAGCAGTAACAGCAATAAAAGCAACAACAGCAATAATAATAAGTAGATTAAAAATTATCCATTTAGATTACTCCTCTCTACAAGTACTGGATAATAAAAAGGTATTTTTAGCCTGAAAATTATTTAATATAGTTTTGTCTTTATTCTTTATGGTTTCAAATATATTAGTAAGGTTCACAGAGTCTACATCATTTTAAGACACAGAAAAACCACATTTTCTTCTGAGCCATCAGATTTCTCTTGTATAAAAACAAGTATTTAGATTAGTTTTTTTCAGTTTGTTGAAACACATCATCCTGCAGAGGAAAATGTCTCTTTTCAGTAATGCAGAGTATTAGAGGTCCCTTAAAAGGGAATTCTTGGCCCAGAAGTTTCACTGGCAGTATAATAAACCTACTGAAGTATGTATTCATTTTGTGGTGACTATAGTTAGGACCCCCCTTTTTATGAACAACCTGAATCTCATGGAGAGTTGTGTCATGCTCAAAACAAAACAGTGAATCTTTTTTATCTAACTACTTTAGCCAGTGCTGCTAAGAAACTTTTACAAATTACTTTATGGGCAAAGTATTCTTCTTGTACCACCTGAAAGTAGCCATCTGTCTTTCTTCTGCCTTTCCCCAGTGAAGACTTTAAAAAAAATTTATTCACTTTACACTGGGCCTGTTTCTCCTTTGCTTTCTGACTGATGCACTTTTCTGAAATGGCAGGCAAATCCTCACAGCACAAGTGGTGGCATTCTGTGAATAGTCATGAGTGAACTCCCTCCCAAATCTAAGCAACTGGACCTTTCAGAGGACTTGAAAAATAGAATGCCTCTGCCTCTCCTCCCAACTGTTATCACCTTTTTCATGCTTATGGGTGACATGTGGCAAGAGGCACAGAAGGATGGGCTCCTGCCTCCCCCCAGTAGAAATATTCCATAAATTTATTTTGAGGATTACTTACTTTTCCACTTCACAAAAATATTTTAGAATAATTCTTAATTAGAATTAAAATAAGAATATAAAATACCATTTTTACCCAAATATGTAAAAAAACTGGAGGCATCACTGACTGAATATGTACATTTTCTTTTCCTCTTTTTTTTTTCTTTTTTTTTTTTTTTTTTTTTGGGGGGGGGTGGTGTTTTTTTTGGGTTTTGGGGGGGTTGTTAAATCATCTCGGTATTTATTAGCTCAGCTAAGATATCCTAATGCTTTGAAACTCCTAAATGTTTTTAAAATATTTCCTCCCATTCAAAAACTGACATGTTTGAATTGTTACCAAGCAAAGATGGATGGCTTCATTAAGAAAAGCCCACAAAGTGCTTGGATGGGAGAGGTCAGGCTGGAAAGGGTGGATGCCTTCACTTAGAGGCAGGACCCTGAAACCTGGCAATCCAAAACTGGTGGCAAAGTAAGCCTGTGAAACAAGGGTATACACCAGGGGTAGACACAGCCAAAATAACTTGGTTGCCATGGAATGTAGAGTAAATGTTGCTGGGAGTTTCTGATGGCATGTCTGCAGCTCCCCTGCCTTTTGTTGCTTGATGTGCTTGCCTATAGCTAAAACACAATAGAGAGAACTGGTTGGAGTATCCATCTTGATTAATAACCTCTTTTCTCTGCAAAACTATTGTTGGGCACATTCACTAACTAATCTTTATTATAGCTGAATGCTGCAGAAGGATATAATAATTCCTAACTGCAGCTGCTTGTAGGTAAAGTGAGAGACCAGTCCATAGTCCTCAGTACTACAGCCACTTCTGCAAATTACAGGCTTTTGATTCATACAGTTAGAGTCAGATGCCTCGTAGGCATAATGTCACTTAATAGTCAGTGTCTGAGTGATAGATGCTTACACCTTAGATAATCTTCTTTGATGTGAGTGAAGAGAAATAGGATTTTTAAGGGCTTGATCCCAATTTATTTCCTTACCTTAGGCTGAAATTAAATTATTCCCGACCTATATTCCTTGGGAGTGCATGTTTCTAAAAGAGCTTGACTGTGTTTATCAGATTAACTCTGTACCCATGAAAAAGCCTAGGCCAGTGTTCCCTGGTGCTGACATGTGCTTGCCTGTACCCTTTTCCAGTGGGCTCCTTGATGTGGTATTCATTCATCCCAACCCACACTCTTAGTCTTTGCCCAGGCACAGCCCTGTGATAGACAAGTTCATAGGGATATTGTCATTGGGAGGGCTGAAACAGGGATGAGAGACTTAGTGAAGCAAAGAGGGTGTACCTGCATGGACATGGGCATACCAGGCTACTAATCTGTAACTATGCATGGTACGTAAAACCATGCATACTTCTGTCCAGTTTCACTTATGGGGCTAGGGCTAGCTTTTTATGTGCTTGGATTCCTTGAAAACACAGCTAAAATTGCAACAGCCCTGCATGTGATTGGGTTTTGTCTGCTGAGCTCCACTTCCCTATGTGGGGGTCTTTGAGACCATGGCACGTTCAAATAAAAAAAAATATGGCGACCCATCATGCTTTCCTGAACTCCCCACCACCTGAGCGATGTGGGTGGGGCACAGATGATTCCCGGTGGCATCCTATGGCTGTGCTGGGTGCTTGTGGCATCCCAGTGGATCCGACCATCATCCTCCCTCGGTCAGGCTCTAGCCCTGGCTTTGACATGGAAATAATTTGGTGCCTTCAGCAGAGGGCGTCAGATGCTTGAAGCAGGCAAACAGGCACTGGCTGCCTCCATGGGTTTCATTGCAGTTGTCTCTCAAGAACCACTAGCAGCTTCAGTTCTGAAGGATGACCCTCAATACACCTTAGAAATGTTGAAGTGCTGTTAATTCAGATTGCTCTGGCTGTTCCTGCTCTCTATGCACACTGGATCCTCTCAGGACTCCTCTCAGCAAATTGCCTGGGCTGTCTTTTCGAAGCTGTGAAAAGGAGCACATTTGAATTTGTTACTATTTTCCTTGTCTTTACATCATGAGGCAGGAGGAATAGAAGGTCTGACACTATGTCACTCATTATACTATATCTCTTTTATCCAGTGTTGAGACACCATTTTCGGGTTGATTCCAGTTCCTTCTGTTATCTCCTTCCTCTGGAGTACCTGATCATGGCTATCAGGCAGGAAAGGAACCACTCAATGTTCCAGTGGTTGAAACTGAGGCAGTTATCATTCTGATTGCCTTCAATCTCCTCCTTTTAATTACTTACTCCTTCTTAACTGCTAGATGTATGGACTCTACATGGACTTCTGCCTTCACTTATACCTAGTCTCTATTAATATTTACACTTTGCTTTAGAAGGTGTTTGTCCTTTGAACACCACCTTGGGTGTCACATTTTAATTTATGCTTGTTTGCTGGTTTTATGGGAGTTAGAATTGTACATATTTAAGGAGTTTTGTTGGGCTGGTGTTGAGCAGCTGCAACCCTCACACAGAAAGCACTGTGCATCTGCCAGCATGAAAAGTGATATGTACAATGAAGTGTGGTATGCAAAGATTGCAATTAAATACTCTGATTGAAGTTTGATGTTGCAAGAAGATGCTCTTCTACAGACATTTTAAAGTCCCTTTTCTCCTTGTTTTTGTGTGTGAGCTAAAAGCACATTCCTGATGACAACAGGAGCCACTAAGGAACACAAATCTGGTGTTCCCTTCTCAAGCCATACATACCTTTAACAACTCCCATACTACAGCAAGAGATTTCTCAT